GCAGGAGTGCGCTTTGAACCCCTCACCCTGTGTATCGCTGACCTCTGCTTATTGATAATCCTGTTGAAATTGGCTTCATTCAGGACTGGATAAGCTTCACCTTTGTTGCGATTCACAAATGCTGAAATGATCAAAGAAACAAATCAGTCCCAAGCCAACACTTATTAAAATTTGGTGTAAACAAAGAAACTAGACATACCTCGCACAGCATCTCGAATTCTCTTTGGAATTCCTAATGTCCCTTGCTTCGAACCCCTGGCTGTTACTGCTTGCCTCTCGAGAAGATCCCGACCATATAAGGAAACTAATGTGGCCCGTGTCATCTTTGCAGGGTCTCCTCGATACTCTGACTTAATAGCATTCTTATCTGCATTAGTGATGAATACTTTAGACCCCTTGGTGACCTCACACTGCAACAAAAATATTCAGTTTAGTTCACTTAATAACATAGATACTAATTTATTCAGAAATTTACTCACACAAGCTCGGTCGGAGGGAATAGGTCGCAGCTCAGCAAATTTAGTGCCCACTCCAGCTGATATACTAGCAAAATTAGCTAATGTCCTGACAAACAGAGCTCCAGACTGCGTATCTAAATAGAAAGACAAAGGGACTTAGAAAATTTGGCAATAGAATTAGATATTTAAAATGCAATTATACTTACAAGCTTTCCTGAGGGCTATACAGTGCTGGCAGCAGCCATTGATAGGCCCCTCTGTGCTGTCCACGTTCTCTTCATCACTGTAGAAGAGCGCTGCAGATTCATCAGTCTCATTAGATTCGGCTTCATCATCTGAAGCAAACAATTCTCTCCTACTAATGGGTTCTGCAGCTGCTCTATCCAAGGTATCCTGTAAAGTTATAAAGGATTAAGGGGGCATCCTAGTGTAGCGGGCTTAAAATAGGGGTGTTTTCGGGAATTTATTCTTAAAAAACTAAAGCTCTCAGAGCAAAACCGATTGCGGGGTTTAATAGATAGCACTTTAAGCTACAAAATCCATTGTCGCCGGTGCCGGTTACCTCTCGGGTAGCGGATCTATCCCCCATGAGGAAACACGCTGCAGCAATGTCATCTCCTCATGGTGGGCAGTCTGGAGGTCGAGCCGTTGGTTTTAAACAGTCGACTAAAAAAGGAAATTAAAATTTAGGAGTGTGGCTATCGTGTGAACCAGGAGTTTTGCGATAGAGCAAAATTTACTATTTTTTTGAACGACTCAAACTTTTATGATAACATTTTGACTAAAAATCTTAATGTTTTCAATTTTTTTCACTGTGAAGGAGGTATTCGAATACAGATATCCTGGTTCACACGATAGAGATACGCGAGAGGAACAACTACGAAAAATCGCAACCCGATCGGCCAAGCGGTTTGGCCGCTAGAGTGCCCACCAGTTCGAAAAAAGGCGTTTCGAGAAAAACGCCGTTAAAGTTTTGCGATGCCGACGGAGCGCTGCGTACTGCTTCACGCGCTACGCTCTTACGGGCAGGAGAACTCGAATTGACGCGCCGGACAAAGTGGGCTGTAATCTAGTGACCATAAGGAATTTTTTGAGACCAAAATATTTTTTTTCCATTTTTTGAGACCACTACACTAGGATGCCCCCTTAAATGTTGATTAGAATTATGCACCTTTCTACAGTAAGCAATATGTTTTTCACAATACAACAAACATACCTGTGCATCACGATGAGCCTGGGAAGCTAATTTCTTCTCTCCTTCAATCTTCTTCTTTTTACTAAGCTGTTGACCCGAAGGTTTCTTTCTTTCACCTAAGGCG